CTGACATTTAATTTATTTAAAAAAAACACTGGAAATGAAAATTTCAGAACTTTATAAATACAGGACTCACAATGCTGCTGAGAAGAACTAGTTAGTCACTATTACTTGTAGCTTGCCAAATACTAAGTAGGCTTGTTAAACTGGCTACTGAGAAATCAAATCACTAAAACTGAAATGTTAATGCAAATGTTGTTTCTGTGAATTTGTATGCTCTTTTCCAAACACACTGTCTCCACTGCTACCTGTCTTCTTTAAGGAGGATGAAATGGGGAAAAAAAAAACACCCCACCGTGAAAGGGTAGGTAAGAGAAATCACTTGTCTAACAGAGAAAAACACAACCATAATAAAAACTCAAGAGAGAACCCGTTGTAGAAGTCAGTTTCTACAAATGCATACTAATTAATTAATATAATGCTACCATAATTGGGGAAGGCTAATTTCTCAACATACTTTTAATGAGCTACTAAAATTATTTTTAGTGCCATTGGAGGACTACTATAAAAATCATATAATAAATATACATGTCCATCAATACCAGGTACAATAACTAAATACATAGGGCTATGTGCTGCATAGAGTTGAATGCTTTATAAAGTAGAAATATGAAATTTGAATAAATTTATATTAGTCTATTTTACTCCAAAGAGGATCATTTTTTAGAGATATCATTTCCAACATTAACACAAAATACAAGGCCATTTATCAACACTAATTTAAATGCCAGTCCAGAAAATCAACACAAAAACTCAGTTTCCCTGCCAGACAGAAACTGTATAAATAAAAGTTAAAATAGGTCTTTGGCCTGAGCACACAAGTCATGACTAAGAATAACTCAAATATACTACTGAAAGGAAACGTTTACCAGAGAATTAGGAAACTTAATCTTCAATTTGGGAAGCACTTGGACGATTTCATCAAATTCTATGAAAGTGAAGGAGACTGTGGTGACCATTCCTGCTGTTTGAGCGCTCCAGTTCCGATCCAGAGATTCCAGTGCTCCTGAGCCATACAGGGCGAGTGTATCCCCATCCACTTCAACAAGGTGTGAGTCTATAACAGATAAACCTTGTAAAGCACTGGTGAGTCCTGAGTCTAGAGACCTGGAAAACCCAAAGTATAATTTTAGATGAAAGTTTTATCATGCAAAGTAAATAACAGGTTATCATGGCCTATTGGAAAAGCTCTTTACAATTTTATACTCATCATTTTCATTTCATTTTTCATAATTAAATCTAGGGCACCAAAGACTAATTTTCAATAGACTATCTGGAAATATTGTAT